AGCTGAGATGACAAGAGTCTGGTACACAGAAGGCACTGTTATAATACATACGTTAGCCACTGCTGCTACTTTCCAAGGATACTTGCTTCTACTTTACCCTTCCTCGGTTGATTAGAAATGCTCACATGTGTAGTAGCCCATATGCAATCATTTATATATTGTCAAAACTTCTTTTTCTGTTAAGTCATGAGTTAGGAAAAGTAAATGGTAACAGCTAGAAAAAGATGGTAAGTCATATTTATACAACTTTATTTTCACTTTTCTTATAAGTAGGCAGAAGGTTTTAAGGTCTCTGCGAATCAGTGGTAAGTAACACAGGTGCATAAGTGATTGGCATAGTCACTTGTAGCTGTGACACAGTAACTGATACCCATAACTTAAAGAGGAAAGGTTTATTTTGACTCTCTGTTACAGTCTGTGGTTATCTGGCCCCAAGGTGGGCACAGCATGGTTCAAGTGTCTGGGCAGAGGGAAAGCTGCTCATATCTTGATGTCCAGAAAGCAGAGAGGAAAGAAGGGAGCCTGAGAGACAGATACACAAGGCCTGCCAGGTCAGCCCCAGGGACCTCTTCTTCCAACCAGGCTGCACCTCTGACCCCACGATCCAATCACCTTTCAAAAGCCCTGCCTCATTCCACCTGAGAGTTTTGGGAGTCATTCTTGATTTCATGACAGTGATGCTTATGAGGACAAAAATGTACCATTCTGGTACTGGGTCTAAAGAGTCACACAGGCTTGTGGATCTTCAAAAGGGGAAAAACCCAAGACCCCTAGGGACACCTTATACCTCTTTTCCTTCAACTGGCTCAAAGGGAAATCTGTGTGTGGCATACATTTGATCTCATTGACTGTTGGTTCCTAAATAATTCTGGATTCGTACCACAGGCATGTTTACTCCTTGATTGTGTTTTTTTTTGTTTTGAGACAGTCTTGCCATGAAGTTCAGGCTGGCCTTGAACTCAAGGGGGTCCTCCTGCCGCAGCCTCCTGAGTGCTGGAGTGCACTACTATACCCGATTCTCTTGATCTTCTTTCAGATCTATAACTTGATTTAGATCCTGCCCAACTGCCTACTGGCCTCTGGGCCAACACTGACTTTTTCCCCTACAGTTTGATTTTAAATGGGAATTCAACCTTCAAAAGGCCAAGAGAGGGTGACAGATAACTAAGAAGAAGACAAGTTTTATTGCAGTCTTCCCTGGACAAACATTTGGTGCCTGAGTGGACAGCCAACCCATCTGGCTGATCTTAACAAGGTCTTCATATATTCACACGGTTTTTCACCTGCAGATGCTATAGAACTCCTTTTGTGCACTATGCCAGTATAAGCAAAAAAAAAATGCATTGTATTTCCAGTGAGGACTGGTGCTGGATATCCCACTAACTATCCCACTAACTATGGATATAAAAGTTTCATATCTATAAAGTAGGTACATGGTTTTCAGGCTGGCCACCTCTTGTCCCTTGTGGTAGTTACCATGTCTGTGCCCTGCCATCTTAAGAAAGTGCTTTGGAAGTTTTGGGGTCTTGTGTATTAACAAGTCTGGTTAAGTGCTGTTACTACAGAGGAAGATGAGACTGTCACTAGAGCTAAAGGAACTTTCAAACTTCATGCAAAGTGAGAGGTAAGGTGTATGAATCAACATGCAGGACCAAGCCCAGTTTAACAGCACAGCATAACCGGGAAACTTGATGGAACCTAAGGACCTATAAATCCCTCATATTGCTGAATCCTGTATGATGGACCGAGACCAGGTTGGGTCACGATGACAAGCCCTTGTTGACAAAAGTTGTCACCTCTATTAGTTGAAGGAATAAAATGTTAGAGTTTTTGAGTTGTTAGGGAACTTTAAGTGTTATCCAGAATTTGGAAGATGTTAAATAGCAATTACTTTGTAGAGACTCTTTTTAGTCATCATGGATAACATATTGCCATAGTTGAGAGAATGTGTGCTTGGATGTCATGAAAGTGACTGTGCTAACCTAAGTAGGAGTTTGAATTTCTGTTCATATGGAAGAAGAATGGGTGTTTTTGAGTAGCTTTTTGGGAGACCAAGTTTCTCTCTGGTGCCTGTGGAGTTGCCCTATTTGGTGTCTTCTTAGGTTAGCAGGGAAATGGTCACATCTGTCTTTATCAGCCCTGCCAGAGCAACTTCAGGCTTCCAGCTGTGTCAGCTAGATCCCAGGGTGGGTGTTTGTGGAGTGGGTCATTTTCAGTGGGGCACCTTTGTGGGGAGACCTGGAGCTTCTGAGCCTCGCCCCTCCCTGCTTCTCAGTACCTGGTGAGTGTGGATGCAGGCTTCCTCTCTGACATTTACTTCCTGTGGGCAGTGGGAGGGTTACTCTCCTTCCTCACTAGAGCTTCCCGCTGATAAACACTGACCTCGTGATACCCTCCCTTTGAAATGGCTACTCCATCTGGGAATTCTCTTCCCAGTCACTGTTCCTACAGCTTGGAGCCTTCCTCCCCCACCCACTTTCCTTCCTCTCACTGCCAGAGTTGAGTATTTCGACTCATCAGATCTCTGGCACCATATAGAGGGTGAGAATGGGGCCTTCAGCCTGACCTGCACTCCAGGCTTTGCCTGGGCTGTTCCCAGCTGCTTCCTGGGGCCCTGAAGCTTCCTGGGGCCCCTGCAGTCCTGCTGAGAGTGCTGTCCATTGTAACAGGAAGTCGGGGAGTTTGAGTCCCTGTTCCCATTGTTTGAGGTTCCAGCTAGGACTCAAAGTCCTTGGGGCTTTGATTTGAAAGTGCATGCCACTTAGAGCAAATGAGGACAAATTCAGACTTTTTTTCCTTCACCTACCTGCTTCTTCCTCCTTTTTCTTAATCCCTCCCTTCAGGTTCTATCTGGCATTGAGTTTAGGGCCTGCACAGAACTATATCCACAGCCCCCTGACCTTGTTTTTATTTTGAGACAAGGTCTCAGTTGCCTAGTCTGGTCTGAAACTTGCAATTCCCCTGCCTCAGCTTCCCAGAGTAGTGGGATTACTGGCATGTACCACTACTCCAAGCTACTTATATTTTTGTTTTTCACCTTAAGTATTGATGCCCTCAAATACAGCCACAACAATAAAACTAAGCAAATCAGTCCCACCCCCAGTTTGGAAGTTTTTCCTCCCTTTTAGATGTTGGGGTAGCTTGGGAACCTAACTTACTACAGTATGTCTCAGAAAAGCATTCAGGAATCCAAATTCTGTACTATTAGCAATCTGTATTATAGGACTGCCTAATATTTTTATGCTTTCAGCTTATTAACAGTTACTATTAATAATTAATTAGCATAAGCAATAAACTCATTAATAAACCATTTCCATAAAAAATTACCTCAGCCTCTGGCATACGTTAAACCTTCAGTAAATGTTAGCTTCTGCTATTACCACTGCTGCCGCTGCCACCACCATCGACCTTTTTATGATGGTGTCATTTGCTATACTTTATTTCCATATGATGAAAACACAGTTAAAAGCAGTGATTGATTCCAAAGAGGTGGAGGCATGGTTTATTACTACTAGAATATTTAGAAATGTTGGAATAATAATGACCAACAAACCAAAAGGTAAGACCAACCCTGAGTCATCCCAAATCAGCTGCTCCTTTAGTTAGAGACATACTGTCAACAGTCTGGACCAGTCACAGTGGGTTATAAGGCGTAGCACCTGTGGAGCAGTGGAGCTAAAATTCATTCATTTGCTCTTTAATTCTATAAACAAACATTTATCAAGGACTTACTATGTGCCAGGCACAGTGACTGTCTAGCGAAAGGGAAAGCACAGCTTGCCATTCTCTAGGGAGGCTTCCACATGTAAGTGGAGTTTTTAAATAGGCCACCAGAGGGGCACCAGTCCAGGCTCTGGCAGCAAGGACAGTTCTTAGAATTGTGGCAGGATGTCCTGTGGTCACAACAAGGAAATTGTTTTGTCTTTACTTACAAATCTGAGAGAATGTTGTAAAAATACAACCAAACCTGTTCAGACCCTTTGATCCTAAATAACTGACTCTATTGTGTGTAGCCTTCTGCTACAGTAGGCTCTTTATGGTGTGTGGATGAAGCCGCTCCCTCTAGGCAGCTGTGTTTGGTGGCTGGGGCGCTCCCATTTACTAGGTTCATGGTCAGAGGCCTGGGCTGTTGGGATCCAAACAGAGTACAGTTGGCTCTGTCCTCAAGGACACAAGCCAGTGTTAGGTCAGCAGCGGGGCAGGGAGATTGGCCCGGTGACCGGTGTCTACTAGGGCATCCTGTGCACCTTGGAAAGTAAGTAAGTAAAGAGTACCTGTAGAAGCTGTGCAGGGTGAGTATCACTCACTCTTATTCTGTTCCTCTGCTGTCTTACCAAGATGTTTACAAAAGTTTTTTCTGCATCTTTCCCCTTGGGCTGTCTTTCTTTCTTAGGGTTAAATTTTAATTCCACCTTCCTGTGCTGGCCAGGGAGTAAGTCTCCAATCTATGCTGCTGAAGGAGTTAAGTCAGGTTAGCTGTCTGGATCATGTTGAACAGATATGGTAATAATTTTAAGGATTAGATTCTCTGTTTGACTTCATAATTATGTTCTTGCTTCTAAAGATACTCTTTTGCATCTTTTCTGTGTTCATTGTGTGTTGGCTGTCCTCATCCCCCAACAAATGTTCATTTGATTAAGGTGTTTAAAGATTCAGAGGAATTCAAGGAGATGTGAACAATTTATCTTGGTCAAATTGCATAGATATGCTATTAAGTCTCAGATACTTTCAGACAGCTTTTTCATTATCCCCCTATCAAAAGCGTTTGTTTGTTTTGTTTTGGTCTTTCCTGTAGAGTGATTTAGCAGTTTATTTCCCCTGATAAGCAACATTTCTTTTTAATTTACCAAAACGCATTGTATGAAACATACTTTGATAAAAATCTGTGTGGGCCGGAAAACATTCCATTGATCCTGGCGCGGGCACAGTATGTGCATTAACTCTCCAGCAAACCCGGCTATGCCTGGTGTCCTTCAAAATATTTTGATCTCTCATTTCAGCCACAATTACAAGTTCATCCGAAAACGATGACCGGAGTGGCTCCAGTTTGGAATGGAATAAAGATGGAAGCCTGAGGTTAGGGATTCAGAAGGGAGTGCTTCATGATCGAAGGGCAGATAACTGCTCCCCAGTGGCAGAGGAGGAGACCACGGGGCCAGCGGAAAGTGAGCTGCTCAAAGCGGAGTCCTCAGCTGGAGATGGTCCGGTCCCTTATTCTCAGAGCTCCAGCTCGCTAATAATGCCACGTCCCAACTCAGTTGCAGGTAAGGTTCCGCCTCCTCTGGAAGGGTTACCTCGCTGAGTCTGAAGAGCCGGGGTTCACCGTCTTCACATGGGACACTAATCTAGAGGACATGAGCCAGCACTGTGATCTTGGCCAGGCATTTGCCTTTCCTAGGCCTCAGTTTATTTCTCTGTAAACATGCTAAGACTTCTTACTGGTCTTTCAGTGACCTTTTTGCACTAGAATTCTTTGAAATCTATGAGTTGGACTATTTGCCTCTTTGTATTTAAGGGAAGAAAATATAAACACTGCCCTTTGGTGTTATTTTAACCTTGAGTAAATTTGTGACTTTTTACAATAACTTGGTAAACAGGAATTGTTCAGAGTGAAGTTCATTAAATTTCTGCCTGTCTATGACTGAATGTTATATAGATAGGAAGATGGATGTTTTCTGTCTAATTCAGTTGTCATGGAGCTCACAGCTTGAACCATTTCTTAACTCAAGTGAGACTGAGATGTCTGGAAGCAAGGGAGAGGAGAGCAAATGGCAGTGTGGGCAGGTGATTGGACTGGTCAGTGGCATGAAGTGTTGTCTGTGGAGGGTGGGGAGAGGTGTTCTGCATGAAACCTTCATGCCTGCTTTTGAAGATCTTGTATTTCTACACTCCCTGATCTTGGGCTGAATTTAAAGAGAATTGTTATGGCGGTTCTTTGTTAGCAGTGCAGCACTTTAAAGTGTGTCCCTTCCTAATGCACAGACCCTTCTCTTTTCCTATGTCAAAGGAGTTTTCTGTAATTTATACTGTTCCTTTGGGATATGCTAGGTCATTCTGGCTGTTGTTGGGTGTTTTTTTACAATAGAACTCTTAAGCAGCTGATAAATAAATGGCCCTAATGGAAACGTTCTGAGGTACAGCTCTAATTCACTTTCAAAGGAAGCAGAGTGACCTCGTTCCACAAGAGGGTTTTGATATCTCTGACAGAGAGAACTAATAGAGAGCATTAACTGTAGTGACTGATGCTTCTTCCAAGAGCATTTTGTCTTCCACCACCATTCCACCCCTTTGACATAATATGTTGTACCCAAGGTGTTTTAATTCATACTTACCTAGTTTCTGATGAGTGAGTCATTTGTATTACCTTAGCATTTGACAGCTTTTATTTTTCCAAAATATTGGCAAACTTGTATTCAATTTAATCCATCCTTTTAAAAATTAGCAAACACGTTAATATGTTAATTTCAGCAGTGTTCAGAGTGCCCTGTTTGGCATTATGTTTTCTGTTGCATGTATTTTTATGTGTTCTCCTGCCGCGTGAAGTGACAGTGGGTGTGAGCTGAGCTTTTCCAGGAGACTGCAGCGATTACAGAGCAGAGCTTTCTCATTTCCGCTGTGCACATTTGTTACCACTATGTATGCCCTTGAGCGAGACCTCCTGTGGAATGCAAGGGTTTTTCCTCGGGATGTGAGCTTAGACTGTCTGGCATAATGGATTTTGCTTATTTCTTGTAGTGCATATTTTAAAAACTAAATGCATATTTTGAAAAGAAATAGATAAATAGTATCTGTTTCCAAGCTACGAGTCTGATAGATTTGCCCACCATTCTGATAGATTTGCCCACTATTCTTCCCTAAAGCTGAACCTCAGTTAAGAAGGATGTTTTAAGTTTCATGAAAAAAAAAATAAAATTCCATTGTATACACCAGCGATGGCGAACCTTTTGAAGCTTTCAGTGATAATAGCTGTCTGTGGCACATGTGCCGTGCCGTAAGTTCATCACCACCGGTGCACACTGTGTGCAGTACTATTTGTTTAGTAATTAAAGGGCAGGCAGCTACAAACAGTGTTCACTCAATATTAGATGGATTGATATAAAATGTGAAGGATCATATGCTGAAATCTCTGGGAAGTATTTGCATGTAAGAGCTACGTAAATACAAATAATTTGCCATGTGGTAGGAAAAGTGATTTGGTACATAGGAGTAGAGTAAGGACTAGGGAATGATACCAGGCCTCTGTTCCTAGCATCTCACCCCCTGGGACCAATCTCAGGTTGGGGTACAGAACTACTTAGGATTGCACACCTTTATGTAATTTTTCTGTCATTTCTTTATCGTCACTGAACTGTTCCAAAGAACTGTGTCTATCTGCCAAACATGTAACACAATGAAAGTTTTTTGTCAAGGATTGCAGAGTATTTAGATTTAGAGATTGTTTTACTACACAGAGTTGTTCTTTGTCAAGGTATTTGTTAAAATGGAATTGATTTGAAATGCCGTATATCACAAAAAAATGTATGAAATGGACACATTTTTGTTTGTTAAATTTAGGATACAGAACCCTTAATATTATATCAAGTAATATAGAAGAAGTTGGGCAATAGGTTCTACTGTTTCTGACCACCTGTTTTCCTTTTTGAAATACTTTTCTGAGTGGTTTACAGGACACTGTTTAATTCTCCAGGAAACCAGCAAACACAATTACCAATTCCAGTTTTCTTGAAACAGTAACTGGTAATTGGTCTGATTCACTGGCATTTACCTGGGTTAGTCCACAACCTATGGTTTTAGCACATTTTTGCTCTTCAGTTCAGCTTAAAGAGGTCTCTCTCTCGTCCCTTCTTCCCTGTAAAGCAAACCTTTTCCTGCAGCATTTTGAAATGTGCTTCTCTCCAGGTGTTAGACACCGTGTGCATGTACATGAGCAGTAAATGTGTAAATGATTTCTTTGTAGAGATGTTAGCAGTAGGTTTACTACAGCAGGAAATCGTTGCTTTGCCTCTAATTTTTCTTGGCCATGATTAGTTTTAGGATTTTTGAGATGTTTGTTAATACTAATGTGAGTATCTGACTGCTAGACTGTTTAATATCTGATAATCTACCTTAAGTGTGCATGACAAGGTGGAAATGTCCAAGTCACCTGCTCTGCTAGAGGGGGAGCACCAGACACAGCTGAGCAGCTGAAGCTTCACTGAATCTCTTGAATGTGTATGTGTGGCTTCAAAAGTACCTTACTTGGAAAGCAGAGGTAGCTGCTTGCAGCTGGTCACGTAAAGACCTGCTTAATCACATTTGAAGTGGAGAATCAGCCAAGCACAGTGGAGGTGCTGAGGTTGCTTTATTGCTTACTTTGGAACTGATGCACTGGTGGTAGGAAATCTGAAAACAGGCACCTGAAATCTCACAACCTCCTGCATCCGTGTCAAATTAGAGCTTTTTTGCAGTTCTTTATTTGTAACGTCCTTTATAGTTGCATACTTGTAATGCATTTTGTTGTCACAAAATTGTCAACTGAATGTTGTACTATCAGGGTCAAGGAAAGAAGGGAGATGGAAAACTTCCTTTGAGATGCTAAGCATCTTTGTATTTATTCTCTAGTGCTGAAGCGGCATTAGGCATCTGGCCACTCTAGCTCTAAGGTGAATTATGGGCAAGACTATGTGGCTCCCTCTGCCTGAGCCAATGGTGGGTGCTTTCACCACAAGGTGTGTCAAGCTGGTGGGTTGGAGTTCCAGGTCTGAGGCAGATGTTCAGAAATACGTTCTAACTTGTGTTCCCATAGGAAGATTTGACAGATGGGGGCCTACAAAGAGTAGGGGGTCCTGCTGTCCATCCAGGAAGTTTCACACACCTTAGTTATGAAGGACCTGCAGAGAAGCTGGAGGCTGCCATTGGATTACTCTATCTTAGATCCATTTGGAAGTCCTGCATAAGGGATGCACTGACTCTTTCTAATGGAGAGTGTTGTGTGATCCCTGTCATATGCAGAGTATTCACTTAAGTATGTGCACAGTAAGTGACTAGGGCGTAGTACACACCAAAAAGATCCAGAAACATAAGTTGATGCTGTTAGGAAGGCAGGGTTTCATACGTTTCTTTGCCAGTTAGGAAGGTGAGTAGGAACCATGTTTGATTGCCCTTAGATGATGCAGCAGGCAGTGAACAAGATACCGTCAGGTCATGCATGGAGCCTTCCAGGTGCTTGTTGAATGACAGAATGAGAGGGAACAGTACGGGCAATGAGGAAATCTTAGGAAGCAAAATAGGAAGGGCTCAGAGCTGATAGTGCAGAGTAGTGAGCTGGACAGTGAGTCAGAACTAACAAGAGGGTTTTCAGAAGAAAAATGGCCCAACTTGACTTGAATCCCTTGTATTTCTGTCCCTTGCATCCTTGTTCCATGAATGTCTTCACTAGTATCACTTAACTCTTGGAGTGCAACTCCCTCTAGGTTCCTTATTACCCTGAAATGATATATATGTTTTTTATATTGAAAGATAATCATATATCTAAGATTGGCAGGACTTTATGTTGGACCTATAAGATAATCATATATCTAAGATTGGCAGGACTTTATGTTGGACCTATAAGCAAATTAGGTTAATTTTATTTAAATCTCTTCTGACTTAGGACATATACAAAGATTTCTGGTTGTTTTTTAAGACAAAAACATATACTATTTGCTTCTAAGATTTGCTGAGAGTAGCAAAATCTTTCCATTTTTATAATCCATCCACCTTGGGTGGTATGTATGAATGTCCCTGATGTTTTTTCATGTGTGCTATGAATCTTACTGATTTTGTCAGTAGTAAACATGGCTACTTATTTTTAGAACTTAAAAAATACAAATATTTATATAGTGTAATATATAACATACACGTTTGTGCTTTTACTGCTGAGAATTTTTAGTGTTCTGAATGCTCTAGAATTGTGCATGCAGAATCTACTTATTTAATTAGTTGGCTGTAATTCCAAGCAGCAGAAAGCTTCCCAGTGCTACAGGAAAAAAATCTAGTGCTATTCTACATATTTGCAGTAAGCAGTGAAGTTTTACAGTGTGATGCTTGATTGTGAGATTTCTTCAGAAAAACTTTTCTACCTCTTTTCTGGAATAATGAAGAATTCTGACAACCATATCAACATAACTTTGATTTAAGAATGAGTAGTGCTTGATTTTTACCACTTTTCAATTAACAGACTTTCTGGAAAAATAATAAACTGGGGTCAAACAAATAACTTAAAATAAATTTTAAGAGCCTGAACTGGATTGCTTTATAATTTATAACTTACAATAGTTTTAGGCATGATGTCAAACTCAATATTAAGCCAAATTTCTATTTAATATTACAGCGACAAGCTCTACTAAACTGGAAGACCTGAGTTATTTAGATGGACAGAGAAATGCTCCCCTCCGGACATCAATTAGATTACCATGGCACAATACAGCCGGAGGTAGGGCACAGGAAGTTAAAGGTATTTATCCTTGCATTCAGTATCATAATGGATATGATTAGTTCATTCACGAAGCAGTGAAAGTCTCTGATAACTCACAAAGAAACCAACTGCTTTAAAAACATGATATGATGTATATATGTGTAAAAATGAATCTATAAGGTATTCTAGGAGGACTCCTTAAATGTTTTTGAACGTTCTCTTTAAAATATGTGACTAAATTGCTTCTTGTGTTAAAAGGCATTTCTATAGTTTATTTTGAAAAAGAACAGTTTTGCACTCGTTGGCATTCTTGCTAACAGAATCAGTTCTGTTTCAGTTCTTTGCACTGTGTTAGCTGCATCCTGCGCATCCTGTATTTACAGTACTTCACAGTACTGCAGTGAGCAGCCTCATCATGTATGTGGGCAAAGCACAGTCACTCCCAAGAGGAGAGTCGTGTCCCTATATGTACGGAAACCTGTTTTAGTTTACCTCTGTGGGGGTGGAAGAAACATGTCTTAAATATGGTCATAGTGAAACCAGTGAGATGTGGCTTGACCCTCTGCATTGCTTTTTTGTTTGTTTGTTTGTTTGCTTTGGTTATAAGAGCAGCTCAGAGACATGAAAGGACTTAAGTCATTCTAATAAGATACTTTATGGGACCAGGAGAGTACGATCAATTCAGAATTACAGAACTATTAATAGAGTCAAATTTAAAACACTTAAAACACATAAGCAGTAGCATATTGAATAGCTTTTTAGTGTGTAAAATTGATGTTTATGTAAACAATTTTTTTTAAAGCACGATTTGCTCCCTACAAGCCACAAGACATCTTGCTGAAACCCCTGCTTTTTGAAGTTCCAAGCATCACAACGGACTCTGTGTTTGTGGGAAGAGATTGGCTCTTTCACCAGATAGAAGAAAACTTGAGGAACACAGAACTGCCAGAGAATAGAGGAGCAGTTGTTGTTGGAAATGTGGGGTTTGGGAAGACCGCAATCATTTCCAAGTTGGTGGCACTGAGCTGCCATGGAAGCCGCATGAGGCAGATTGCTTCCAATAGCCCCAGTTCATCACCTAAAAGTACGTCCATGTTTAATACTTGTCTAGTTCATTAATATAAAATCTGCAAGGGAAATTGCTGTTTGGGTAGACATAAATTAGCAGTCTTTCTTAAGTTGTTTGAGCTACTATATAAAGCTTGCAATTGTATGTTAAATGATCAATCTGAATACTTTCATCTGTTGTCCTGTGTATTTGGCTACAACCTGGGGTGAGGCCAGCCTTCCGTTTTCTGCTGACCTGGAACCATTTCCCTCTTTGAGGCAGAGATCGGGTAGGAGGCCTGAACAGTGCTCTTTAAACTTTGGGTCCTAAAGCAAAGCAGTTGGGCTTCTGGTTGAATAAACCAGATGGAGTTTAATGTGGAGTCCTGTTTTTCATTTTTGGTTCTTTTTTTTTCTTTTCTCTATAAGTGTTTGTTTTTAATTTTGCCGTAGGCTTTGTCTTTCAGATTTACCAAAATTACAAAGTAAGACCTGAGAAGCCATGTACAATGGTGCATGGCTATAATCCTACCACTGCAGAGGCTGAGGCAGGAGGATTGCCCCAAGTTCAAGGCCAGCCTGAAGTACACAGCAGGACCCTGTCTTTAAAAAAAAAAAAAAAAAAAAAAAAAAAAGTAAACCATGAGATAGAGTAGCTAAATATTTGACTGCTTACTGCTTATTTTATATGCAGTAAACCCATTACAGAAAGTATCTTTAAATATGGTGAACAAGAACCAGGAAGCATGGCAAGATTTATTTATTTATTTTTTTAAACCAGAGCAATTGAATAAAGGAAACTGAATCTGGGAGTGGTTGCCTGTAGTCCCAGCTATTTGAGAGGCTGAGGCAGCAGGATCACTTGAGCTCAAAGTTTTGAGACAGAATGGACAACACAGTGAGACTTTGTCTCTACTGGAGGGAGGGAGTAGAGGGACAGCAGATCTCCAGGAAGGGAGATTGGGTGAATGGTGATGGATGTGAGTTGACGCACTCTTTGGATCGCTCATTTCGGGCCATGTTTACTAAGTATCTCTGGCCCTAATGAAGAAATACATTCCATATCCTGCCATACCTGTGTGCTGATGTTATTAATGAGGTGGTTCTCTTCTCTAGCATCGGATCCTGCCCAGGATCTTCCTTTCACTCCACTGCTTTCACCGAGTTCTTCCACAAGTGGTCTCAAGGTGGCTAAAACACCTTCTGCCTCGAGTACTCCTGAAAACCAGAGACCAAGAGAGGATGCGGTGAAATACCTTGCTTCTAAGGTAACTTGCTTTTGTTTTATGGGAGCCTTCCAGATAGACATTTGCTAGTTTGTTTTCTGAGAAGTGAATCAGAAAAGGGATGTTAGAACAACTGCTAAAGTATAGCAATAGAGTACTCCAAAGAAAAGATAATACAGGGAATTAATATCTTAAGACACTGGCAGGGCACACTTACCTGTCTGAAATAGGTAGAAAGAGTTCCTCAAAGCAGCAGGAGCAGTCATACATACACCATGAACATATCCTTACAAGTACATGCTCTGGTTAATTTGGTGTGTGAGCACAAGATTGGGAGCTTTTAACTTGACCCAGACATTCTTCTGCCTATCCTGTTTGTTGTCTGGGACCTTTGGTTCCCTGTGTCTTTCTGTCAGAAGTTTTTTGTGAAACCTGCAGAAGAGAACTTAACTAACTTTCCCTTCCTAAATGCATGGTCATCAAGGACCTTCTGAAATTTTCTTTCTGCTCTGAACCCATCACTGGATCATAAGCTGCCTTCCTGCAGTTAAAGGGGTTAAATTTTTCACTCTTGTAAGGACTTGGGTCTCTGTTGGCAGCAGTAATGTGAGTTGGTAGAGGTAGAGAGATGGTAGTGATGAGGGGGGTTGTCTTATGAAAAGTATCCCACAGGTGGGGTTGGTCCAGAGGAACTGAAACAAATGCTACTGAGCCCCAGATCCCCAGGTGCTTCACAGATGTTGCTTCACATTGCTTTTGGCAGGGCCAGGTCTGATACTGTGATCAGTGATTCAGAGCACTCCTGGGGTTATGAATGGGTGTTCTGAGATGAAGGATATAGTACAGACTTCAAAGCTACCCCTTCTACAGTGATTTTTCAAGCCTCTTTGATTGTCACCCATAGTAAGATGTATGATTACACACTAGAGATCTAGTACTCTTGCACACATGATGGGACACACAGTCAAAGTGAAAGTACCATCAAGCTACCTTGTTCTTGAATCCTATAATATCTTCTGGTAATTTAAATTTACTGCATTTTTAAAAACAGTTGTTTGTGCCTTCAAATTAATTTCATAATCATCTGTTGGGTTTCCAAGCTGGTTTTGTCAAATGCTGTGCAAGACAGTGATTCCAGATGTCTCATGATGGTTTGCACAATGAGTTCCTGGGGTCCTCACGTATGTTCTTGCTAATCTTTGTCTGGGTAAGAGTAGAAGAGCACTCAGCTTTCCTTTGAGTGTGGTGTTAAATTCAGTCTAAACCAGAAGTCACATGGTGGCTCCAAGTTGGCCTGAGAAAAGCCTCTCTACATCTGCTCTTGCCCCTTGCTGTCTGAGAGTCTACAGCCCGAGGACCTCATCTAAGATCTTTGACTGTCCTTGTCACCATGGCAGGGAAGTTCATTGCTTCACCTGTTGCCCTGAGCTGTGCACTGCAGTGAGTGGCTCTTGTCCTCCTTTCTGCAGAGGGCTGCAGAGCTGAGTGGGACAACGGTGACTCAGACCCTTCTGCAAAACATAGAGTGCATCATACAAGTGGATGTTTTATTTCCCTACAGCGTGCCTCCCATCCCTAAAGGTTCTGCCTCAGGAGTTTCTAACAACCTGCTGCCACAGCCAATCCTCTGTAACAAAGGGACTGTGCCTCATCCTCTCTGTACCTGGGCAACTCCCTCACTCCTCCTTGTGCCCCTTCATGTGGCAAGCAGAAGTGTAGTCATTTCTGATTTTCCTTTTTCAGTGTTCCTGTTAAACTTCTCCAGGGTCCCTTGAAGAAATGTGGGTTTGGAGAAGTGCTCAGAGCTTGAGCCTTTCCTGACAGTAGGAAGCAGCAGCTATGACTTTGCACCTGAGTTTCATAGCCACCAACTTCAGTGTCTGCTTTTTAGGGTCAGTGCCTAAAGAGGTGCTGCTGTTTCTCAGGACAGAAATGCAGTGTGGATGGCATGCTGAGGACATGGAGGTTGCCTGGAATTGCTCTCAGCTATGCTGAGCTTTAGGTTTTATGAATGACTTTTGCTATCTTATATTCAATACAGAGTAAGTTGTGCTAATTATTTTGGGGGGGGCACTAATCAAGATGGGTTTGTGGTTGCATTTATTGGTCTGAAGAGAACTTAACAAACCACACAAATGAAGGAAAGAATAATCAGTTAACACCTCAGTCTTAGGAAACAGAAGCTGTGTGTGTTGTTATCCTGCTGCATGGGCAGAGTTGCCTTCTTGCTTGAGGTTGCTGAAGGAGCTGTGTGGAGAGAGTGTGGTGCCACTGATGGTTCTGCTTCCCTTGTAGGTGGTAGCCTATCACTACTGCCAGGCTGACAACACGTACACATGCCTGGTGCCTGAGTTCGTGCACAGCATCGCGGCTTTGCTCTGCCGGTCCCACCAGCTGGCGGCGTATAGAGACCTTCTGATCAAGGAGCCCCAGTTGCAGAGCATGCTGAGCCTCCGCTCCTGTGTGCAGGATCCTGTGGCTGCTTTCAAGAGGGGAGTGCTGGAGCCACTCACAAACCTAAGAAATGGTACCTGCCAGCAGCCCTAGAGCCCTCTCCCTAGCAGCAGTACCTAGGTGGTCCTCCGAAGGAGGGTGGTTGGCTCAGCCTTGGGCTGGCGGGGAGAAGGTGTAGCTGAGTCATTGTATATCTGGTTTCCTCTCTACAGCTGTCTCCTGAACTCCTCCCACATCGCTGTGTGGTAGTTTTCATAGCTTTTTGGTTATTTTCTTGGTGTTGAACCCAGGGTGTTGCATATACTGAGCTTTATCCCATTTACCTTGGTGGCGGAATTTCAATGAAACATCTCTAAAAAGAATAAGCTGTACCATTTAGGTTTCACAAAAGCCAGTTTGTAACTCTCGGGGAACAGAGACTGTCTACTCTTTAAGACTTGATATTTTAGTCTGTGAAGTGAATTGACAATAGAAAACAACTGAATTTATTAATGTGCAGAGTGTACCATGTAGGAGAAAACTCTGTGGAAGGTAACTCAGCACGAGGGCCTTTAAAACCCAGGCCCGTATAGGATCTTCACCAACAACAGTAAGTTTTAGAGGAGAAGACCAAAAAAAAGAAGTTTCAGGTTTCTCAGTGTGAGAAACAGGGAAGGTAAATATACAGGGAAATTAATGGCAGAGAAGGGCTGTTTAATTAGGTTTGCTAAATAGACTCTTCTGGTGCCATATTCAGCTGATATAACTATATACTTGTTTCCAGTGATTAACTTCTGTCTTTCCTGGTAGAAAATGGGCAGAGGGCATAAATAGAAATATATATCCCGTTTCATATTTAGAAGAGGCATATTTGGGTCTCTTATATAAATCTAAGCTATTTAGATGACTTGCACCCTGAAAACAATTGCCTATGTATTTTGTACTGCTAGATAGCAGATTAAGTAGATTTTGGGGGGAATTTTCTAGCATTTTTATTTTCAGAGACTCTGTTCAGCTGAGTTGACATTTAAAGCCATTCTGGAGGTTTCCATTTGATTTTTTTGCTCCCAAATGTTCTAGAAGGTAGGGCATGTTAAGAACATTATGGGCCTTTCAGGTTTCCCTCCTTCCTCCTCTTTTCTCCTTACCTTTTGTACTTATTTGCTTGCCTACATAACATTTCTGCCAGCAGGTGTTAGAGAGGAGGATGGAAATAGATATCATTGTTTGGGCAGAAAACTGGCACGTACAAAATTAAACTTAGCCTCTAGAAGTCTGTAAGGCAGGGCTTTGAACACTGTGTGTCTTGGTCCAGACAGTTAGCTCTTGGGGCATGTGGGTCAGTTTTCCTTGGCTGGGATCCACCAAGGAATTCTCATGGGACCTGCTACCTTTTCCAGATTTGATCTGTGTGTTATCTTCACTCTAGGCCACCCTAGTGACAGTGGCTTATGAAGAGCTAACTGTATTACATACATGATTGAGATTCTGCTAATGGGTGTAATGCAATATGTTTCTGAAAACTGTTTTGCGAAAATTGGTTTTCTTTTGGCTCTGTGCTCCGATTTTCATTATAAATTTAATAGAAAATATGCTTCTATGAAAACCGTGTCTTCTGCCATATGTAAACCTTTTTAGTTTGCACTAACACTTTAAACTGTGCATTAAAATATGCTGAGTGGTGCTGTTATATAGAAATGCATAAATTTTAATTTGAAAAATTTTCTCCTTCAGAGCAGAAAATTCCTGAAGAAGAATATATTATTTTGATAGATGGCTTAAATGAAGCTGAGTTTCATAAACCTGATTATGGAGATACGCTTTCTTCTTTTATTACCAAAATTATTTCTAAATTTCCTGCCTGGTTGAAGTTGATTGTGACTGTAAGAGCAAATTTTCAGGTAACAAAAGATTTTTTGAATCTCTTTTCAACTCCCTATGCCCCAGTTTTACGGTGATAAATACTAATAATTTAAATTGTTACAAACCGTTTCACTGCTGAAGAATTAGAACACTTCACAAGGGCAAAACTCCGGTCTTCTGATGTCATGGCTGATCTATCTGCATGAAGTTGTACCTGTACTTCTCAGATGGCAGTGACTAGCCCTGAATTACTGTAGTTTCCAGTGTGTGGCTGGTGATAGGGTGGCTTTGTGGAACTATTTTATTTTGCTGTTCTGAGGCTCAAACCCAGGGCTTCATATGTGTGATCTTTACCACTGAGCTGTTTCCTAGCCCTGTGATTTCTGTTGAAGGAAAAAGTGAGACATGAAAGAGATTTTAAGGCCTCTTCTAAGCAAATCTGCTTTTTCATTAAACTTCAACATGCTGTAACACTTGCAATGAGATAAAGACTTGATGATTTTTTCTTTCACCACCTTCCCCTTCATCTGAACCGTAAAATTGTTATCTTAACCATCAACTCTATGCCTGTCCTTTTTCAGTAAAGACGTTTAGACATCATATTTTGATTTTTGCCCTTTTATGATGATACATTTTTAAAAATAGCGCCCAAGGTTTGCTTTTTGGTGTTTTTATTTGTTTGTTATTTTTTTCCTCACTAATACTGGGAATTACACTTTACTTAAATTTGATGTTGATTTTCATGGACATTTGATTCATATGCTTCTTTCAGTAGAGTATAGAAATAAGGTCCTGTGTTTTACCTGCTGGCTACGTGAAGCTCAGTTAGCATCCGTGTAAAAGGGGAATGATTGTACTCTGCCCTCTCCTTACAGTTAAAGAGGGATATGTACTTTAATACTGCAGAAGTGATGTTGGGAAGTTTTAAAAATAAAAAGAAGTCTGAAGTCCTCTTTACTGTGAGGTATTAGGATTGTGCTTATCTTTGAAATGAGAGAGAGACCAGAAGGAGACACAGGCTTCCTGGAACTGGTAGTGGTGTTTCTGGTTTCTGGCTACACAGGTATGTTTATTTTTGTGAAAAGTAGTGATATTGCAATTATGGTTTGTACATCAGTGTATTTATGCATCTTCCCATTTAAAAGTTTACTTTAAAATCAATTTAAAAGATGGTAATGTGTTGCATTAGAGTAGGCAGGCAGCTTTTGACCACACACTGTCCAGGGTTAGAGCCTGAGGGTGGGCTCCGAGTCCCTGGTGGATTACCCCGCCCAGGCGCTAATGCATGCAGAGGGCATGCCTCCTAATCTGTGTCTGCCTGTGTGCTTAGATGGGTGGTGCTGGTTTGCATTTATCCTGCTTATGTAACAAGTTGCACAGTGTGAGGATTACAGGTATCAGGTCACCTGCAGGGTCTCACTGCTCTTCTACTAGTAGTGGCCTGTTTGCCACCATCTGGTCAGGTCCTCACTCTGCTTGTTGGATCTATCTGAGCCCCTGATGAGGGCCTTGGAAAAGCCTTTACTGATTCTATCTGGCTGCAGGATTTCTTTCCCATAAGCTTTTTATCTGTACCTTATCCTATTACACATTTTAATACAAAACAATGAGTCCCTGTAAGCCATGAAAATCCTCTTTGAAAGAAAAGTAGTGAACCTGGCTTAAAATGCTGCTAAAATAAAAAAGAAATGTCTCCAGATTAACATTGCTGGGCTTTTTTTTTTTTTCCCTGTGTGTGTGCAGGAAATTGTAAGTGGGTTGCCATTTGTCAAGCTTTCGCTGGATGACTTCCCAGATAACAAAGACATTCACAGCGACCTGCATGCCTACGTCCAGCACAGGGTCCATAGCAGTCAAGACATCCTCAACAACATCTCCCTGAATGGCAAGGCCGACGCTGCCCTTATCGGGAAGGTCAGCAGCCACCTGGTGCTGCGGAGCCTCGGCTCCTACCTGTATCTCAAACTTACCCTGGACCTCTTCCAGAGGGGACACCTGGTCATCAAAAGCGCCAGCTACAAAGTGGTGCCTGTGTCCCTTTCCGAGCTCTATCTGCTACAGTGCAACATGAAGTTCATGACTCAGTCTGCCTTTGAGAGAGCGCTGCCAATTTTAAATGTGGCACTCGCGTCTCTCCACCCTATGACAGACGAGCAGATTTTTCAGGCTATTAATGCTGGTCACATCCAAGGCGAACAGGACTGGGAGGACTTTCAGCAGAGGATGGATGCCCTCTCCTGCTTTCTCATTAAGAGGCGAGACAAAACCCGCATGTTCTGCCACCCATCCTTTAGGGAATGGCTTGTCTGGAGAGCAGATGGGGAAAGCACAGCCTTCCTGTGTGAGCCCAGGTATGACAGGCCACTTCCTGCTAGCTCTTTAGGGGTCTCCTGTGCCCTTAGGGGAGAGAAGCTTTCAAACATGATCCACATTACTTAACAGAACAGTAACTCAGAATGAATAATTCAATTATGTTGCTTTGTTTTCTGCCCAGTCTGGCAGAAGGAGGGGCAGTGGAAAATTTTCTATATTTCTGCACAAAAGCTTCCTTCCTTTGATTGCTAGAATTTAGAGCTTCAAGTGTATTTGAGTGAAAGAGAAGCTGGGTGATCTCTGAGTGACATTTCCTTGCTGTCAGTTCAATCACGGATCCCCATCTACTCTCATCCTAGCTTCAATAGGGTCACAGAGAGTGTGACCTCTGCCTCAGGGAATCTGGGGCATCTCTCGAGGTGTTCTCCTAAGAGTCTGGTGGTGTTGTGGACCTTCGGCACTGACACTCCGAGCTACCTCTTCAACACATAACGCCTTATGTAGGGATCAGAGGTGTCTGTGGTCCCAAGGGAAGCTCACTTCTCTGACTTGGTCTCCACCATTTATGTTAGTGGTTCTGTTTAATATTTTGAGCAGGCCAGGCCAGGATTAAGCTTTCACTGCCTGGGCTGATCAAACCACAGAATGACAGGAGACACAAGCCTGTCTGTCTGTGTGTCATGTGACCTGGTCCAAATTGGGGCCAGAGCTTAGGAAATGGAGTGTGCTGTGCCTTTAGATGGGGGCAAGCCCTCCCCTTCTGCCTGGACCCAGCTTGAATCTCTGCTGTCCTGATTAGCTGTGCTCTGAGGGAGGATGGCCCCCTACTCTCGTAACAGCTGGCAAGCTGTCCTACTGTGTCTTCAGGACTGTTGTGGGCACTGGACCACAAGCTGGGGTCTGGAGACGAAGAGGTAAGTAAGCACTTTCCTGTCCCATAACCACTTTCACCACACACTGACCTAGTGTTGATCTGGTAGGTCTGACCATTCTTCTGTTATGGCTGTAGTTTTCTTAGGTGACACTGGGCTCAAGGTTTCTTGCTAACTTGGTCTGAGGCACTGTACTGTACATCCTGGGTTATTCAGTCAGATGGTTATAGCTAGGCAAAATGTGTTCTGGAGCATAACTAGCCAACAGATATTTTTCCTCAGGAAAATCAGATCATTTGCTAGAAGGACAGACCATGGGCATGTTTGAGACGCAAAAGCAAACTGAAAGACTTCAAGGGGTGTAGGTTTGCTCCTGGGATTTGTGGCAGAAGTGGTTGACTGCAGTCACCAGGAAGTCTCGATTCCTTTGGGATGGAAGGGACATTAAGTTTATGTAGGGGAGGCTGGGGTATAGGGTGACTGCTGGTCAACATCAGCATTTGCAGACTCCTGATGCTGCTGAGCTCTTTTTATGTGGGGACACCCCCCTGGGATTGGGCCTACGTCAACTAGAGGCAAGAGGAGTGCTTAAGGAAATGCTCACCCTACTGTCGTGGGAGCCAGCAATGCCCCAAGAATCCTTGGTGCATGAGCTTCATTCAGCAGCAGAGCACAGAGAACAGTATTGGAAGGATCATTTGCATTCAGTCCGTTTTTGAGGGTCCACTATGTGTAGAGTACTGTGACAGATACAGGGATTTCTTTTTTTTTTGTCTTTTTCCTTTTTATTGGTACCAGGGATTGAACTCACGACTGCCTGCTTGCAAGGCAGGCACTTATGCCACTGAGCTAAATCCTTAGCCCCCGATACAGGGATTTCTAAGATAAGGAACTGTACTTTCTCAAAGGATTCTGCAAAGGAAAGTAGATGAGGAGGGCAGAGAGGGACTAGAGGTAATGATCTTGTGCTATTAGTATAAAACTAGTAGAAAGGGAGACACTGCGTGTAGAACTTGAAGAAAGGGCCAAGAACCTCCAGGGAGGGAAGCTGTTTCTGGAAAATGTTTCACTACAGGGAGATGTTAGTTTTAAAAGGAGGTAGCATTTCTCTCCCACCCAGATAGTTGTGTTTTTGGTATAAAGAAAAATGAAGGAGAATCCAACACCCAGAAGCAGTGACACTTCCTTTTTTTATTTCTGACTTTTTCCTTAGCATTTTAAACATTATAAAAGGTCATCTTTTCTCCCTTTAAATTCTTGTCCCATTTCAAGTGAGGAGGGAAGATACTGTTTTTATTGTAGTGTTGTTACTGTACCTGTGTGTGTAGAGGCCTTTTTTGCTTAACACATCACTGGCGAGGGTCCTAACATAGTTAGAAAATGTTAGAAAAGTGTCAATTTTTATTTTTCATGGCTGCATAAACCTCCTGGTAGATAAATTACCATGTGCTTAACCATACTTTTGTTGTTAGACCTCAAAGGTATTTCTAGAATACCTAACAAACATAAAAACATAGGTAATACCCGGGAGCCTTATACACCTGGATTCAGCTCTCAACCCTGTCAGTTCTTTGTCTTTCCTGGACATGTAGCCTTCTTTATCCATAAAAAGTATGACTATCTTAGAGGCAAGGTGGTTATTAAGTATGTTCATAACAAGATCTGCTAATACACATACCTATAGGGTAGCACATCAGAACATCTTGGTCCTGTCAAACTGTAAGTCAGTACCTGTTGATCAGCTTTTCTTAATTCTTCCCTTCCCTCTCCTCTTCCCCAGCTCTGGGTAACTACTCTCAATTTCTATCAGCTCAACTTGGTTATATTGCACATAAAAATGAGATGATGTGGTAATTGTCTTTCTGTGCCTGGATTATTTCATTTAACATAATGACCTCCATTTTCATCTATGTTGTTGCAAATGACCCTGTTTCATTCTTGTTTATGGCTGAATAGTTGTTCGCATCTCTTAACTTTTGTGAATAAATATGGAAGTACAGATGTTTCTGACATATCGATTCATTTTCTTTGGATAAATACTCAGTAATAGGATTGCTCAATCCTAGTAGTAGTTCTATTTTTAGTTGTTTAAGGAACCTTTGTATTGTTTTCCATAGTGGTTGTACTAATTTACGTACCTACCAACATGTGCAAGAATTCCCTTTTGTCCATATGCACCAGGGTTTTGCTGTCTTTAGCCTTTTTGATAATAGCTGTTCCTACTGGAGTGAGGTGATCTCTCATCACCATTTTGATTTACATTTCCCTAATTAGTATGTAGGGGCAAGGGTACTTCATAGCCACTTCTGTCAGGAGGCACATAGTATCTTCACATCTCCCTGTAGTGTTAGGGCTAATGGATGACCAATTCCTGAATCCATTGACTTCTTAGGGTTGAGGAAACAGCCTCTACTGCTCTTTTTCTGTGCTAGTAACTTGAGCAGTGACTGCATAGGACATTAGTAAGTATAACAAGGCTATTGTAGACAGGAGTAACTGTCAAAGGCATTTTAGGCCATATTCTAGCAGGCAAAACCAAATCAAAGGCTATGCTACTGAGGACGGTGTGGATTTTTGAGGGGTGGTTTGTTTTTTTGTTTAGGCTTTTTTGGTACCAGGGATCAAACTTACGATGTCATGCTTGCCAGGCAGGCGCTGTGCTGTGAGCTGACCCCTGAGGATGGTTTTTTATCTGTCATTTCTGGAGAACTTTTGAAGGTTCTTATGTTAGCTTTATATATCTCTGTAACAAAATACCTGAGATAAACCACTTAAAGCAGAGAAGATTTGCTTTGACTCATGGTTTCAGAGGTTTCAGTCCATGGTCACTTGGCTCTGTTGCTTCGAGGCCTGTGGTGAACATAGCATCATGATCAGAAACATCATGATGAAGGAAGGTGGCTCACATCACTGCAGACAGGAGGCAGAGAGAAAGGAAGGAAGGGCTGTGGGAAAATACACCTTTCAAATGCATGCTCTAGTGACCTCCTTCCTAGGTGGTCACTGACCGGGTGGCTGGTTCCCAAAACAGCCCTGAGCCAGAACCGTGGTATGAACCACTGCACAGAAATATGGGAATTCAGAAAAGGCCTTTAAAATGACTTGATGAGCAAACAATATTTGTCGTCTTTGAAAGAGGCAGCAGTTAACCCACAGTTTGTGATAGTCACAAGGATGGCGCTTCAGGGAGTGTGTGGTGATACACACCCGAGGGCCTGTGGTGCAGTGGAATGGGATCTTCATCCTGAGCTTTTGTTTTTTGTGTTTTGTCTCCTAGGAGTGGACATGCTCTTCTGGCATTCATGTTCTCTCGGCAGGAGGGCAAGCTGAACCGCCAGCAGACCATGGAGCTCGGCCACCACATCCTAAAGGCGCACATTTTCAAGGTGAGACACATTCTAGTAAGAGGAAGGGTTTTTTGTCGTTTCATGGTTTTGGAGATTTTAGATAGCTTTGTGAGCCATCTCAGATGCATTCCAAACACAATTCCCTCCCTAAAAGCAGCCATGCTTCTAACTTCCTCTCATCTCCTTGCATGTTTTCGTATTTTATCATAAGTGTGCACACAGCTGAGTTTAACTTACTCCTTCTTTGGTTCCCGTCGAAGTTTCTTCTCATCCAGATGTCCTCCTTCATTCGTTCTCTTTTGTTTCCTTGTTACTTATTTGTCAAAGAACTTGAGCTTATTGACCTATGTAATTTTATACCACTGGATTTTCTGATTGTGTGTTTCTCATGGTAGAATTAAACATACTCCTCGTTTTCCTACATGTCCTATCATTTGGTCAAGCTTGCTTATTCGTTATGAGAGTTCTTGCATCAGGAGATACAGCATTTGTGCTTGCTTCTTACTTGGTGATGTTACCGTTTACTGCCTGGGCTCGTTTATTCTCTAGAGTTGCAGACAGTTATTTTCTAATTTTGTCATTGAGTCTTCTTTTCTAAATTACTTCCATAAAGGAAAACTATCCATGTCTGCCGTTTCTTTTCCCAGGAATATAATTTACATGGCGAAGGCAGGCTGATTTCTTGACCTTTGGTTTTAGGCAAGGGAGTTAGAGATTGAGCAGTTCTTTGTGTGAATTTTACTGCCTTCACTACATACCTGTACCTTTAGGAGCAGACCCACTTTGAAGCTGATGCCTTGCATGGGTACCATCTCAGCTCAGGGGCTTTATCTCTGGTCATTTCCAGGGCCTCAGTAAGAAGACCGGAATCTCCTCAAGCCATCTGCAGGCGCTGTGGATCGGGTATAGCACTGAGGGGCTGTCTGCCGCCCTCGCCTCTCTCCGAAATCTCTACACACCCAATGTGAAGGTGAGCTGCCCTTCGCCTAGGGAACAAAGCCCAGGTTGGCCTGTCCCTCCTCCATCAGTTCTCCTAGTCCTGGCAGGAGATAGTTTGGAAAGGGCATGAAGCTTCTAACAGATACTTTTAATATAAAACACACATTTCCTTGTAGATCTTTAGCTTTTGTGCTGGTAGGAAAATACAGGTGCTTAGGCTGCTGTGTGAGCACACTGCAACATTTCAGAGCTTGGTGTGATGAAGTAATTTACAAAGGAAGCCAAAAGTCAAAGGGTGATGTCCAGGGAAACTGAATTCTCAAGTGTCCTGCATCACTAATCTGGACCATCTCTTTACGATTCATTGGAAATTAAGTATTGATGAATGATAAAAAGAGATTGGTATCAGAAAAACCATGATTAAAGATTTCATGTACACATATGTTTCTGATCTTGGAAAGTGTGTTAGATTGGTTTTCTACTAACCCAACAACTTCTTTGCTCTATGGTCAGTGGCTTTCATGTCAAAATACCTTGGTACCTCTGTTCATAAATCAGTTCTTTCCATTATTCTGGTCACAGAACGAACTGGATAAGAAATGAATCAAATTTCCCAATAAGGTCAAATTGAACCTCACCACTGAATTTGATTCAGTGTTTATCCCCCTTCGCTTGTGACCAGAATCATGGAAAGAATCAAATTTGTGAACCAAGATAATACTGTATTTTACTCGGCTTTGTAAGATAGATTTTCTTTCCCCATTTAATGCAGTGTGAATATGGAATCCATGTAAAAGCTAAATACCTGGTTAAGGCCACAAAGAAATGTTTAGGACTTTCAGTCCCAGGGCTGAGGCCGCTTCACACGGAGCCAGATCTTTCCCTTTAAATCTCTCACCGACATGATCATCGTATCTGCCTTCTCTGTTAGCCGCATAACAGGGGCTAAACATGGTCATCCAGGGGAGGATTAGGCAAAGCCCTGGCTCACGAGTTTCCACACATCTGAGAGCTACTTCTCCTCACTTCCGTTCAGGCACACCCAGGAGAGGGATATGTGTGCTAGACACTCTAGGACCGTTTCTTTGCCTCTCCTCTTCTCCTCTGCTATCCACACAGCTCACCCTCAGCACACACACCCTGAGGATAACTTGGTATTTTTCCCCACGTCTGGTTAGAGATGTCTTCTGCTGCCTGTCCCTTCTGCATCTCTCTGGTGATTCTGAGAAGTGAGAGTATCACAAAGTTGCCTGAGGCTCCTGAAGAGGACGTAGCAGTGCTCTGAGTCTGGGGAGTCCCAACCTAGATCTCTGCTGCCATAGAATGGAGAGTGACCACTGTCCTTGGGTGGACACAGATGGTATCTTTGCAGAGATGAAGAACGCATGTTTTCCAGGTGGAACCAGCCCCCATCACAGTTGGAGGGTGACGGTCAGAGGGAGTGCTGGCTTCAGGTTTGACTCCCTGATGTTGGCGAGGTGACTTTGAGCAGATCACTGCCCCAGGGACTCTGTGTTCTGCCCTGCTCTATGCCTGCCTCTTAGTATTATCACTCACTTCCAGACTGGTAGATGGCAGTGCTTGGGTCTCAACTGAACCTCCATGCAGGTTTTTACAGGTGGATTGGCAGGAAGTCTGTTCCCTCACTCCCAGTACTGGGGCTGGAACCTAGAGTTTTCCTACTCAGCTACATCCCCAGCCCTTGTTTTTCTTTTTCTTTTTTCTTTTGAGACAGGCTGTCCCTAAATTGCCCAGACTGGTCTCAAATTTGTGATCTTCCTGCTGCCATACCCATGGGAAAACCTTTTATGTAGTGTAGACTGAGAACCAGCTCCAAGCTGCTACTCCTGGTCAGAGGGAATGCTTACTTTCTAGATGAAGTTACTCTGAAGAAAAAAAAAAAAAAAAAAAAAAAGGTGGAGGGTATGGCTCTTGAAGTTTAGATTTCCTATATAAAGGATGCTGCTTTAAGGATTTTTTTTCACCTACATTTTATAAAAATTAGAATTTAGGCTATGATAATAACATTGTTTCATCTTCATGCTAGTTAATAGTGTATCATTTGGCTTCTCTATAATTAATAAAACTATAACAAATAAAAATAAGAATGGTGATGTCTGTTTTCAGCACTGTAATAAATTTATGGACACAAGTTATTTAACACGGAGAAAAGTAAATGGGAAATGTCATCCACTACTGAATATGAGTTTTTAAGATAGCAAACTATAAGATACAACATACTCAATGAGCTTGGCTGTCCTGGGAGTGTAAACTTTTCTTTTTATTTGGAATTTTAAAAGTGGTGCATTTTTGTTTTATAAAACTCCATTGTCACCTTCATTTACAACTTGGTTATGGAATCTTAAGCTTTTCCATTATGCTTCTGGTTATTATTTTTTTTTAATCTTTCGAAGAGGGAAAAGGTTTTCACAGAATCTTGAGCAAATTATAGTAATTTAAAATTATGCATGCAATTAAGGAACTTCTTTTAAGAGAGTATTAAATGTTGTCATACAGGAGTGAATGTCATTTTGAGCAATAATTGCAGTTTGCCACTTTGGTAAATTAAAGTGACTTGCTCTGGAATGATTACTTTGTAATTTCAGAGGCTTGCCAGTGATTTCTAGCACTACGGCCTCCGTTGCCAGGTCAGGGTTATGCCAGCATTCACCCAGCTGGCCCACTGGGGTCTTTGCCACTGGCACCTCAGGCTCCGTCCAGCTGTTTATTTTGGTGTTGTGTCTCCCAGGACTGGCTGCCAGCCAGAGGGTGCAGACTTGGAGAAGTCAGGTTGTGGTTCTTTGCTCAGCTGAAGGCAGGGGGAACAGGAATGAGATAAGCACTTGGCCTAACTTCCCTGGCAGGGGGCAGAGAAGCCAGTCATCTGCACCTCGTTAGAGCACATTTTGTAACAGCCATGTCTATGAGCTTCTGGAATAGTTAGGAAACTGTGACTCTTGCTTTGTGACTGGGATGGCCGGCACCTCCCCTGTCCCTGTCTGTGATCATTTCACTTTGCCTACAACCACTGTCCTTTTTGGTTTTCTTATTTTCATTAAATTTGTAATTTTATAGACAACATTGCCACTTCCAAATGTTAGGCAAGTAGAGCTTGTGAAGATTGTTGGAAATATCCAGCAGTTGAGGAAAATTTATAGGATGAATCACGTTACCACCTTCCTGTAGGCAGCATGGTCCACCTAGGGCTGTTGCTCTGCCACCAACTGCTCCATGACAGAGACTAGTTCTGTGCTCTGAGCTCATCTGTGTTCTACTTGCTGTGATCCTCAGTTTTCTCATCTATAAAATGGAGTGGACAAAAACCCTATCTCACAGATTGATCAGAAGCCTCACTGCTGAAGCTCCTGGGAAAGTGCCTGGCATTTCTTACATGCCCAGGTGAGGTGTTTTTATTGGTGCTTTGCCTCACTGCTGGAGACAGTGGCTGCTGCAGACACCTGGGAATTTCTGGATGGGCTTGGTAGGGTTGTAAACAAGAGCTGCCTGCCTGGAATCTCTGGTGAGTCAGGTCTGTCCTTCACTCTGGCAAGTCTCCTGAAGGGCCTGGGGAAGGAAAGGACAGATCTTTAGGTTACCAGGGACCTGTGCTTTTGTCCCTTTTGAAGACTACACAAGAGTGATTGTAACAGTAGCAGTTAATAGCATTTTGGCACCTATGGGATACTAAGTGCTATGCTAAACGCTTTATGTTCCTGTGTATATATACAGATACATACATTTTACACATCCATTTTTAATCTTCACAGCATTGGCTGAAGTGAAACTATTTCTGTCTTTTTTTTTTTAGTTGAAGGAGTACAGGCTTACGGTTGGTAGCATTCCCCAGGTGATGCAGCTGGAGAGACACCTGAAGCTCAGTACACTCGTCCCGTGTCAGCAGGCACATTCATCACTCCATGTGTTTACAGACCTGCCTGCTGAGTAGTCTCACTGGGGAGCTCTGGGTGCCACAGCCTCAGTCCCAGTTAAGTCAGAATCTCCAAGGGTGGGGCCCAGGCACTGGAAACTTTCATGCTCCCAAGGGTTTCAGGGCACAGCAGGTTTAGAACCATAGTCAGGGAGGATCCATAAACTAGTGGGAGGTTATGTGGTAAAAATACCTGCACCATTGTACCAACAAAAGAAATGTTTTTCCCAGGAGCAGCTAAAGCATGAATTGACGACAAACATCATTAGGGAAGCTCTGCTTTTAAGCACATACCTTCCAGGTGAAGTCTTGTAAGGCATCACCTAAGGATTGAAGGTATAGCTTCCAAATTTGTTCACAAAAAAAAGCTGTTGGACAGAATAGTCTGGTGACCTGCTTGGGTTTTTTTTGGCGGGGGGCATCCACAGCATAGAGAAGTTGAGTAATTTTCTGAGAGTCATACATGAGTTAAAGTGGCTCTTTGAGAATTTAGACTACTCCATGAGTTCATGAAAAGATGGGGTTGGTGAGTTGTGGACATGGTAACTGGCCAGCAGAGTCAGTCAAGGAATTTAAAAACCATCCTCACCTGTCCTGTGGTGTCCCACCCCTCTGGTCTATTTTTGTGCTAATATGTCATCTATACTTCTCTCACTCTGAACTGTTTCCTAGGGCTTGAGAATAAAATTTCCAAGTACTTCTTTAGAATAACCTTACTCTTATGTGTGGTTAGTGGTTATTTTATTTAACATTTAGAATTTTAAGGTGCTTTTGATTTGGACTTAAATCTTGTGGTTTTAATTTTAAAAAGACCATTAAAAAGATACAGAATTTCAAAATAAGGTGACAGGAAATTAACAATGATTATTATATTGCATATTGTTGTCTTCAGAATAGTTGCTCAGATTACCAGATAGAGGTATGTAAAATTGATCAAACAATACAAGCACTAACTGTTTCTTTCAATGAATTAATAGAATGAGTAGAACAATTAGCTATCTTATGTATATATATATATATATTTTTTTTCCTTTCCTGTTTTTCCCCTCTTCCCCATACCATTTATTCTTTCTTTTTGAGCATTCTTTCTTTCTTCTCCTTTAACAATATCTGTTGTACTCTTTCAGTTTCTCAAACTAGGGAGACAATATGATTTTTATACATGTAAGTCTGATTTATTTCATTTAAAAGTACGGTCTCTAGTTGTAGCCGTTTACCTATAAAACTGTCGAGTTTATCTTTCTTATAGCTGAGTAGTACTCCATTTAAAAATACCACATCTCTTTTATCCATTCCTTGACTGATGGGTACTTGGGTTGTGTCCAAGATTTAGCTACTACAGATTGTGCTGCTACACACTAGATGCATATAAATCACTTTGGTATGATATTTTCAGTTCTTATGGGAAAATACCCAGAAGGGGAATAGCTGGGTTGAATGGGACCTCTAATCTTAGTTTTTTGAGGACTCTCCACACTGATTTCCACAGTGATTGTATCAGTTAGTCTATTCTCCCCACAGTGGAGTGGAGAAGGGTTCCTTTTTCCATACAGCCCCACCAGCATTTGTCATTGGTTAATTTCTTGATTCTGGCCATTCTTTCTGGGGTAAGATGGAATCTCAGTGTTGTTTTAATTTGCATTTCTCGAATGACAAATGATGCTGAACATCTTTTCATATATTTATTTGCCATTTGTATTTCTTTATCTGAAGCATGTGTGTTCATCTCAGATGCCCATTTTTGGATTGGTTCTTTGAATTTTGGAGGGACCTGTTTTTTTTAAATTCTTTATATATTCTAGATAAAAGTCCTTTATTTGAGGGGGATGGTTGACTACAATTTTCTCCTAATTCATGAGTTTTCTTTTCACTCTGTTGGTGATTTCTTTTGTGGTGGAAAAACTTTTTAATAAGATGAGATCTCAGTTGTTCTTTAAAGTATTTCCTGTGCCATTTGGTTTTTGTCCATGAGTTCTCTGCCTATCCTGATGTCTTCATGGTTTCTATCTACTTTGTCTTCCAGTAGATTTAGTATTTGTTTTGATATTTAGATCTTTGTTCCATTTTCCTTCAGTATGTGGTATTAGGCATGGTACTAGTTACAGTCTTTGACCTGTGTAGACCCAGTTTTTCCAATACTGTTTATTGAAGAGGCTATCTTTCTTCCAAGGAATACGTTTGGCCCCTTTGTCACAGGTAAATGTGGCTGAGTGTGTTCGTAGTTATGTCTGTATCTTCTGTTCTGTGTCATTGATCCTCAGGTCTGTTTTTTTGCCAGTACCATGCTGATTTTATCACAGTGGCTTTGTAATATGGTTTTTTTTTGTTTGTTTGTTTGTTTTTTGTCTTTTTCCTTTTTATCAGTACCGGGAATCGAACTCACGACTCCCTGCTTGCAAGGCAGGCGCTTATGCCGCTGAGCTAAATCCCCAGCCCCTGTAATATGGTTTCAAGTCAGGAACTCTGATGCCTCCTGCGTTTGTTGCCCAGAATTGCCTTTGTTATTGTAGGTCTCTTCTTTTTCCAAATGAATTTTAGGAATTTTTTCTCTAGATGTATGAGGTATACTAATGGTATTTTGATCCGGAATTGCATTAAATCTACATAATAGTTATAGGAATATGGCCATTTTCGCAATGTTAGTTCTTTCTATCCATGAGCAAGGAATATCTTTCTGTTTCCTGAGATCCTGTTTGATTTCTTTTTTCAGACTACTATAATTTTCAGTGTATAGATCTTTTACTTCCTTTGTTAGATTGATTCCTGAGTAGTTCATGTTTTGGGGTGTTGTGAAGGGTGTGATTTCCCTTATTTCTCTCTCAGTGAATTTATTGTTTGTGTACAGGAATGCTGTTGATTTTTGAGTATTCATTTTGATGACACGATCTTCTACATAGAAGACCCAAAACTTCACCAAAATTCTTCTAGATTTAATAACCCAATTCAGTAGCGCAGCTGGATACAAAATCAACACTGGTGATATTTTCAAGTAAACCTACATAGACTAGTAGCAAAGGGAATGAGCCTCACATTAACTGTCAGTGTTAGGACAGGGACCTTTTCTCATCTCTTGCCCACCCTCTGTTTTCTGTCTTCCCGTGCATTGTTGCTGGTGGGCAGTAGGAGGCCAGAGGGGAGAGGCTGGGTTGGTGCTGACCTGGGTCTGGCTACTTCATCATGCTTCTTATGAGGTAAACAACTGAGCTGAAGTTCTGGGTGCCTTTTGGCTCCACAGGGCCTCCTCATCACTTTGCTGTGTGGCTTGTCCTTCTTTACATGTACATGATGACTCTAGTGGTGTGAAGGACCCACTGTCCCTGGGGGGCTTGGCATGCCTGTCTTCTTCTCTGTGAACTTCTTAGAAGTGGCGCCTGGTACAGTGGGCCAAACCAGGAAATGGCATGCTGAGGGGTGGAGAAGGCCCGAGGTTGGTGGTGCGTAGGCTGGGGAAATTCTGTGCAGTGTGGGACACTTCTCTCTGGGGCCCTGAAGTTAAAGCAGAGACCCTTCAGGAGCCATCCTTTGGCACTCTGGTCTGTGCAGGAGGGCACTGAGAAGGGCAGGGACTGTCAAGCTGGAGCCTGCTGGGCATAGTTCCTGGAAGACTTTAGGGGAGGGACCTCGAAGAGGAGGGTGGAGAGGAAGCCAGGGTTCCAGATCTTGCAAGCTTCAGGGTTCAGCAGTAACCAAGACATTTCAGATTTTATGTATTGGCTTCTAACTTGTCAGCATGCATCATACACCCCAGCTTGGTCATCTAGTAGTATCACCCCTCCCACACCTTTCAGTTTGTAAATGTTCCATCAGCTACTACAGTGGACCCATGTCATGGAAATACCCTGAACCTTGCATGCCTGTCATCTATCTATAGTTTTTAGTGATCCCATATGTTTCCAGCCAAATAAATGACACAGTCTCCATAGTTTTCACATGTAATGGGCAGCCTTGAGGTCCTGCCAGGGGGAGTGATGGATGCAGAGCAGGCCCACTGAAGGGGAAACATTTGAAGAAAGTTACTGGGCGTCTTAGTAGGTGTTGAGGGAGCATCGTGTTTTTCTGGTGACCTGGAGGTTTGAAGGAATTATTGAGATAGCTATATTTTGCCTATATAGTCAATGACTTTATTTTGAAATCTATAGATAAAATATTTTCCCTGATATCTGGATCCATGGTGTTCAGTAAATGGCAACTGTAGTAATTAGTAAAAGCAGCAGAAGGGTCTTTAGTATTGTTGTGTTACCTACAGCCCAGGGGCACCCAAGCATTTCCTCACACTCCACTTTTTCTTTTAGGAATACATCTATATAAGGAAAAGAGGATATTTGGATTTCCTTTTGGCTTGATCTCTTCATTAATTACTTAATCTTTTGATTGTGTAATTGCCAGAAAATGAAGTTTCAATTTTTGTTTCAGCTAAATAGGGATTTTTTTCAAAGTATGAATTCCAAGCCAACAGCATCTGAGTTTCATGGGAACTCATTAAAGTGCACCACGAAGACCTCCTGGATCAGAAGGGGGGTGGGAGTTGTGCCTGCTTAAGTTTTTATTTTCAATTGTGGTAAGATGGATAAGAAGAGATTTTACCATTTTAAGTACACCATTCAGTAAAAATATATTTACATTGTTATGTAATAAATCTTTAGAACTTTTCATCTTGAAAAACTAAAACTCTTGTGTGCATTAAACAGCTGTCATTTTTCTCCTTTGCCCAGGATCTGAAAAACCACCCTTCTGCTTTCTTTCTCTATGCTTTTAATTTCTCTAGGTGCTAATTACATAGTGTCATGACATATTTATCATTTTGCATTGACTTATTTTTTTTTTAACTTTTTATCGGTACCAGGGATCGAACTCACGACCGCCTGCTTGCAAGGCAGGTGCTTATGCTGCTGAGCTAAATCCCCAGCCCTGCATTGACTTATTTAACATGATGTTTCTTCCTCTTGACTGAATAATATTCCACTAGATGGTTTGTACCACATTTGCTTTAAACCATTCCTCTTTTGTTGGGAGCTGCAATTACTTCTGTCTCTTGGCCTTTGTGAAAGATGCTGCAGTGAACATGGGTATGAAAACTCTTTGAGATCCAGCTTTCAATTATGTTGGATATATATCCAAATATGTGACTGCTGGATCATACGGTAGTTTTATTTTTGAATTTTGGGGAGAACTGTTGGTTTTCCATTGTGGCTGCGCCATTTTACTTCGCCTTCAGTGAAAATGTGTGTTACTCACATATTCTCCTGGTTGGTGTCTGTACACATCTCTAAGATTATAATTATACAAAAAGATGATGTTACTGCTCTTCTCATGAGGGTTGTTGAACCTAACATGTATATGAGAAATTAATCTTGTTGGGGGACATTGTCCAACAGGTGAGCCGTCTCCTGATTTTGGCAGGGGCCAATGTGAACTACAGGACCGAAGTGTTAAACAATGCCCCCATCCTGTGTGTCCAGTCTCACCTCGGCCATGAGGAAGTCGTCGTCCTGCTCCTAGAATTTGGTGCCTGCCTGGATGGAATATCAGAGAATGGCATGACCGCGCTGTGCTATGCGGCAGCGGCCGGCCACATGAAGCTGGTGTGTCTGCTGACCAAGAAGGGGGCGAGGGTAAGCAGCAGCCTTCCTTGCCTGGGGGATGGCCAGCGTGCAGGCGGGGCTGGGCAAGGTCTTTGTGCCATTGCTAGAAATGTTGCCCCCTGCCAGCCTCTCTTTTCTCTGCATCGTGGCACCATCTTTCACAAAGTCCACAGGTGCCAGTGACCTAGAACTTATTTTTAGAGTTTAACATAGTATCACCATTGGTTGCAAAGATTTTAAGTGTTTTCTTTTATTCTCACTTTCCTTTTCTCATCCCACTTTATTTTGTGTCCTCTTAAAACAATCACACATGTGCGCGAGAGTCTAAGGCTGTGTGTTTGAGCTACTCATATTCTCTCTTTTGGAAAACAGGTAAACCACTAGTAATTATCTTTACCCTGTTAAGTGATTGAAATATTGAGAAAATAAAAGGCCAACACAGAACATTAGACTGTAGTAGCTATAGGCTGGCTGTCTGCTGTCTGGCTGTGGGTCTGTTTCTCCGTCTCTGAATCTCAGACTCAACATTGGAGACATCTGAATGTCAGCTCGTGGAGGAGGGGAATGCTTGGCTCAGCCATGGCAGTGGAGCCTCACTGCTGCATGCCATTTCCACTTCTCAGCTCGGCTTTAGCCTCTAGCTTTACTCCAGGACCAGCAGGCCCCCTCCCATCATAACTGAAAGCTCATGTTGATGACTTTTGAAAAGCGTTTGGATGAGGATTCAGTGCTCCCCAGGGTTTGTGAGCATGACGGACCTGGGCCTGGGCTCCTGTTCGGCCCCAGTATCCCTAGATGTAGACAGGGAGATGGGTAGCCTGCTGTCTGGGGTATTTGGAGCGTTTTGAGACAGGCAGTTCTTACATAGTTCAGGCTAGCTGTGGACTTGCTATGTCACCCAGGCTGGCCTTGAACTCACAGTCCCCCACCTCAGCCTCCCAAGTACTGGGATTACAGGTGCCCTTTGGTCTTTAGCAGGTGTACCGCACACACACACACACTCTTCCCTGCGGCTGCCCTCCCCAGTCTGGGACATGTTGGCCTACCACTTTATGTGTCAACATGTCCCAGGTTATCTGTCTTCATGGTTTCTCTTCCTGGACTTCCTCATTCCGAGTTCTGCTTTCTAGATCCTGCCCCGTCTTTTCTGGCTCCCCAGACTCAGTGACCAGAGAATTGTTCATCTCCCCCAAATCATAGTTCCTTCACAGCAGGTCTCATAGGCACCCAGTTGGAAAGCGTAGGATCTTGTCACAGTGTTGGTCTGTGTCCTTATACACATTCCCAGGAGAACCCGGAGCTCCATGCAGTTCCCTGGACATTTGGCAGGGGGGTGTTTTGTGAACATTGGGACCCTGTCAAGGGACCCTAATCCCCGGATCAGTGCTCTCATTGCCATGAAGAAAGTCAGATAAACTTCCATGCTACCCAGGAGAAGGGTGAGGATTCGGACCTGTGTACACTTGGTGGTGTTGGGGTTTGTATACAGTGCTTGGGTCACCTGTCTTTTCAAAGGAAAGAGGGTACTTACTTGTGCCCTGCCCTACTCTTTTTTTTTTTTTTTTTTGTCTTTTTCCTTTTTACCGGTACCGGGGATCGAACTCACGACTGCCTGCTTTCAAGGCAGGCGCTTATGCCGCTGAGCTAAATCCCCAGCCCCTCCTGCCCTACTCTTACCCGCAGGTGGACCATTTGGATAAGAAAGGCCAGTGTGCGCTTGTCCACAGCGCCCTGCGGGGCCATGGCGACATTCTGCAGTACCTGCTGACTTGTGAATGGTCACCGGGTCCTCCGCAGCCCGGTGCATTGAGGAAGAACCAAGCCTTGCAGCAGGCACTGACGGCAGCAGCCAGCATGGGCCACAGCTTGGTGAGTGGCCTTGGGGCTCCTTCCTGGGAAAGGGGGCTGCAGCCCAGGGGTCACCTGTTTTTTGCAGTTGCTACCTTCTAAGCTCTGAGTCTATGACACACTGGAAGAATGAACAGAAGACGAGGATTCTAAAAACTGGCCATTTTGCTTCGGTCCCGTGCTTAGGCCTTCTGTTGGCTTCACACTTTCTTAGGAGTGAGGCCTGAGTGTGACGGGATGGCAGGTTTGCGCTTGCCATGGGAGGCCCTGCCCTTAATGCTCACTCTGCACTCTTCCTCCTGCATCTTTCTCCCGACACTGCTTTTACCCTCTACATTTTTTCCTTTTAATGCTTTTTTTTTTTTTTTTTTTTTGGTCCTCGTAATCTTTAAAAATAATCACATGGAATCCCAGTTCTAAATCATTCTTGAGCATTTGAAGGATTTTTAAAAAATAGAACTTCAGTGCTTTGATAGCATTTAAGAGTGCTTGTCATTTGCAGTTCCTACCCTGAAGGAAAACGTCATGCAGCGGTTAAATAGAGCATTTATTTCTGGTAGATGTCAGTATTCCTCAGTTTGAAGATTTAATTGTCATTTCCTGACCTGTGTCTAAGCTTTGTGATTTTAATGACATTTTACTCACGCTCTTTCGTATGTTTCTCACTCTGTATTATCTTCAGGCAATTAGAGGTGCCAGCACTTGGTAAGATTCTTTTCCCAAAATGGCATAAACTAAATTTGCATGCCAAGCTGGATGCCTGACATTTGGCACTTAAACATAGGGCAGAAACATATAAGCATGCACTGCTGGTTGGCTGATTTTTGGCGTTTAAAATACTGAAAGCTCATGTCATAAAAATATAGTGTTGAGTACACATATTGTAGATGTAGACTTTTTTCCTTTCTAAACTGTTCCCTCAATCTGAGTGAATCTTGAATGTGAAAAGGCACCATTGGGAGGACACTGGACACCAAGTATAGGTATAACTTTTGCCTCGATTCACGTTTTCCCCTCATTGAAAGGTGGCTGGAAGGAAAGTAGTAAAATCCATCTCAACACAGCCAGTAACTACGTCCTGGGAAAAAGCAGGACTTATCCACCGAAGACTTGAAAGGCAGATTGGTTTGTTAATGTTGTACCAACTTACATGCTATAAACAGCATACATTTACTCTTAGAATTCGGTCAGACGGAAGTCAAAACTGACAGTGCATGAAGGCCAGGGTTGCTTTGCAGGCGCCAAGCCTGTTACCTGGCTCTTCTACCCTCCCTCGCCCACCACATACTTTCAATTTTTATTTTGAGATGGGGTCTTGCTAAGTTGCCCATGCTGGGCTCAGACTTGTGATCTTTCTGCCTCAGCCTCCCAGAAGGCTGAGATGATAGATGTATGCCCCACACCCAATTCTTCCCTAGCTGCTTGAGGCTCCCTGTGTCCTGAGCCCATGGTCCTTTCTTCAGCTTTAAAGCAGGAGAGTGGAACTGCCGTGCCTGTCACTGCGTCTCCTCCGTCCTCTGACCCTCATCCTCCTGGCCTTTTCTTGAAGTGCTGTGGACTTATTAGGCGTATAGCAGATACGCTGAACACCCTGGTAATTCAGAATACTCGCTTCATTTTAAGATCAGTAATCATGTCTACACTTCTCTCTTAACATTTAAAGGAACATTCACAGGTTTGTGGGATTAGTGGACATGTTTCAGAATTATTACTCAGGCGCCACGAAAGCTACAGATGACAAGACCTGCGATGGCTTTGTCTTGCTCTCCTTTTGCTGCTCTTGCTGGAGTGAACATAAGCTGTAGTCTGGACACTGATCTTCTGCTCCCTGACAGGCAGCTTTCCTGCCTTTATACCTGTAACTCGACCTGCTCTTGGGCAGAAAAATGCCCAGAAGGGAAAAGAATAATACTGCCAGTCTGAAAATCATTTGGACAATACTTTAAAAAAATTGAGGGGTTATAAATTGTATCTCCTTATTTTGCTTCCTTGTAAAAAATGGATTCACCATCATCTGGTGATTTATGCAGAAACTGCACTTTATATGATCTGCCGTGTCCTTTGTTGATTAGGCTGGCATATTTGGGTCAGGCTGGAATTCATTAGAATTCTGAGTACCTAGTAATTCTGAACAGTGTTGCTGAAATTCACTGAGATTTTTTTTTTAATTCTTCTGCAAGTGAAAGTGTGAATAGCATACGAATTACAATTGAAAATGGTTTTCATTATATTTTATCTCCTAGTGCAGCATGAGATAATAATGGTTAAAAAACAACACTGTCCTTTGATATATGGAATATAATAAGCACCTATTGCTATGAGAAGTCATTAAATCACCTTGCCACTTCTGACAGGTGGTCCAGTGCTTGCTGGGAATGGAAGAGGAACATGAAATAGAAGTCAATGGCACTGACACGTTGTGGGGAGAAACAGGTAATTATGCTTTCAGTCCTTGTAGTTTGGGCCAGCTTGCTTCATGTTTGAGCCCTGGTTGTGGCCTAATTGTCTTAAGACTGATTTGCGATGCATGTAGACCTATTTTTTTTTTTTTTTTTATTGCTAGGCATGTGAAATATAAGACCTTTTAAACTTTGCAAATAAGTAGTAAAGCTTTGCTAGAAGCATATACAATTTGAATCATTTTGAATTAGACCAGGAGTTACCATGCCTCTGAGGAATGTCATATGGAAATACTTAAGTAAGGTATTCTGGTTCTCCAAGTCGTCACTTGTCCTAATCCATCTGACTGTCCTATGACTTGTGCAAAATGGGCTGGGCAGGAACTGCCATCCTCATTTTAGGTGAATCATAGAGGCTCAGTAGGGAGACCTGGGCCTGCCTTACCTTGTAGGATGAGAGGAGAGGTCAAGCCTTACAGGCCCTATCTAAAATACTGAGTGCAGGTGGTAGAGTCTGTTTCCAGTGGTCTGGGATGTGTGTTTAACTAGAGCAGAAAGAAAGCCACAAGTGAGTACATTGTATTGGAGATTAAAATTCAGTTAATGGACATAATGTTGCTTTGAAACTTTCTACTTGAATTGGTATTAAAAAAAATCTGTGACTTTAAATCATGAGTTATTTTTTAGTAGATATAACTAGGGTGTTTAATGTGCATTTCCAGGCTGAGTTCTGTATACATACATAGTGTATGTGATTTCCACTTCTCCTGCCCAGATTTGTTTCCAAATACTCTAAATTATTTTCTAACAAGCCAGATGGTGGTGTGGAGAGATTATTAACAAACTCACACTTAGAAAAGGCCTCAGATTTTCCTGGTGGGAGTACAGCCTGCCCTTTGGAGCCCATAGTTGCCTCTGGTGCTGCCACCATCAATCTGGATCCTGTCACTTCCTGTGGGAATGGAGGGGGAGTGGGCCAGGGCCCTGACTAGAGAAAGCACCGGACTCCAGATGGTGTGCACTATGTCTGGTGCCCAAGTGTGCAGGCTTCTGTATTATACTAGCTCTTTCTAGAGCCTTTCCCCACCCTTTTAAATAATGCAGACCATCCTGTAATTTGTTTTTGTTTTTGTTTTGGTCTTTTTCGTTTTTATTGGTACCAGGGATTGAACTCACAACTGCCTGCTTGCAAGGCAGGCGCTTATGCCGCTGAGCTAAATCCCCAGCCCCCATCCTGTAATTTGTTGCAAGAACAGTTTCCATCAGTTTTCTGTTGTGCCATGGGCAGTGGTGCAGCCAACTAAATAAGAACATGGCTTTCCTGGGAGCCAAAATATCCAAATCTCCACTCCCTTGGATTGCCAGGTAAAGCACCTTGGGACAAGTTTCTTTGCCTCCTTTTCAAATAGGGCAAAAAATACCTATTTTTATATTTATTTTAGGAGTGAGATGAAGTCTGAGACACAGCCATCTTGCCCAAGTGTCCTCAATGTGGAGAATCTGCAGGAGCATGGTCTGGGGAGAGCCCATGGCCCTGTGTTCTCAGCAAGCATCAGGACTGCTAGCGTCATGAGAACCAGAGCCATGGAAGAGCAGTTTAGAGAGTCTGACATATGATAGGGACACTGGGAGAGGTGTGTACAAGGACAGCAGGGGGGATATCACTTCCTTAGTTTAAGTGGCAATGTCGAGCGTTAGCTTTCAAGGTGATTTTTTTTTCCTTTTTCTGGAAGACAAACCCAAAGGACTTGACTTTGTGTATGAGCTCCATGTTTTTTCTCTAGATGAATAGCCCTGGATTTCAGCATTTTCTCCCTTTAGGTTTTTTCAGTTGGTTGTTGGCTAAAAAAAATATGTGTGAGAAACTGGAGACTTCCCAACAATCTCTCTCTCTTTCTTTTTTTTTAATAAGCAATATTCCCGTTTCTGTAGTGAGAGGTCTGGGCTGGGTTCTCTGTTTGAGGTCTTACCAGCCTACAGTGTAGGTATGGGCCTGAGTTGTAGTCTCATCAGAGATTCAGCTGCTTCCAGGCAAAGGAGTTATTGGCAGAATTCATGTCCTGGCAGCTGTCCCTCTGGTCTTAGTGAAAAGATACTGAATAGTTCAAGCCGTCTCTTTCGAAGTCTTGTGCACAGCCTTCAGACCACTCTGTGGGCTGGGAAGCAGTTGGCACCTTCTGCAGCAGGCAGTGAGGTGAATTTCATCAGCCAAGCGGTGAGGTTTGGTTTGGTGTGAGAAGCGTTTAAAAGTCCTAACATTGAAGCTAAGAACAGGTAACCTAAACACTGTTTTTTAGGCTTAAATTGCTGTGGAAGTTCTCTACACACTGCATGTAGTAAACCAATGTTGCCCTTCTCTGTAGTCTTTTCTTTTGGTACTTGTGGAGAATGAAACTAGGGCATCTTGCATGCTGTGCAAGCACTCTGTCAGTGAGCCACATCCCCAGCCCTCTTTATTTTTTGAGACAAAGTCTCAAGTTGCCAAGGCTAGGCTCAAACTTGGGATCTTCCTGCTTCAGCTTCCCCTGTAGCTAGGACAGGCATGCACCACTGCTCCTGGCTGTCTGTTTTCTTATGGTCTCTGTCACCTGTGCTCCTTCAAAAATGACCCCCACTGCCTGCCCTGAGAACTCCCATCCTCCAGGTGTGTTTATTAAGGGAGTACAAGTTTTAGATGGGAGAACATCAGCACCTGTGGGCCTTACCTGCGTGTTTACCACACTTGCGACGTGAGGTCTTTTTTTTTTGGGTGCCGGGGGTCGAACTCATGACCTTGCGCTTTCTAGGTAGGCACTTACACCACTGAGCTAAATCCCCATTGACAAATGAAGTCTTGCTTGGGGTTTGGCCGTGACCCCACACATGGGAATGAGAGTGGATGAGCCAGGCTCAGAAGCGGCCTGCAGAGGACAGAGGCTGTGACGTGGGACACACTGCCTGGTGCCTGCTTCATTGCCATCGGAACTCTTGGAACTGAAAGTGATTATTCACTTTGCGGTGTTGTTTGGTGCTTTATTTATTTATTTTGTGGTACCAGGGATCGAACTCTCAACCTTGTGCTTGCCAGGCAGGCATTTATGCCACTGAGCTAAATCCCAGGCCCCGTTTTGGTGCTTTTTCCAGGGTGCTCTCAGTGCTGCTTTGTGTCCAGACACCCCGTTTGGCCCTCATCTGTCATTAGCCACAGGACAAGGACAGGGTCCCAAGAGTGGCTCCTGTCTAGGGTGTGGGAGTTTGGTGGGGGAGTGGGAAGCTGTGTGCTGGTGATGAGTCCTCATTTCTCCTGGAAACTTGTTTGGTTTATACAAATCCATCCAGTAATATTTAGCTATAAACAGCTTGGCTTTAAGGTGCTGACTGGTAGGGTTTTAAGGCACTCTCCTCAACACTTCGGACTCCTCTCCCAGTCTGTGAAGGGCCCATGCCTCCTGTGAGCTCACGCCCTCCTGTGTGCACTATTGCTGCTTGCCGACCTCTGGTTAGTCCTCAGCCGGGGTTCAGAGTAGAGGTGCCAGATCCTTGCACACAGCCTCCCTCTGAGGTCCTGCCAAGACAGGCTTTTGCCCTTTCACATTTTAGAACGGTGACCGACATACCTATTGCTGATTAGAAGCACTCGGTCCTCAGCAGAAAGGATGGCAGTTGGCAGGGAACAGCAGGGACGGTCCTGAGCCCTTGTGCCCTGCGCATCTCAGCACTGTGGCCCCGAGTCATTGTTCCCATCTTAGGTTTAAAAAGACAAAAAAGTATAGAAGAGATTTTGAAGGCATTCATTTATGGTGGGAAGTGTTTAGTTTCGGAGTTCGTGGCAGTAGACATACAGCTTTTGAGGAACTGTGGACTGTACTGATTTGGGGAAGCAGAAGACTGCACTAGGGACATTTTCCTTCCCACCAGCATCTGGTGCCATTCGCTGCTTGTCTGATACTTAGAAACCAGCCCATCAGCATCAGTGCTGTGGTTCCAGTAGCTCATTCAGTGCCCTTGACCTTGTCATTTGTGTGGGAACCACAAGGAGGGTGACTCAGCAGAAGAAAACTCAGAGCAGGTGATGAGCACCTGCCGCTAGCTGTAGTGCCCTTGGGCTCTAGAGGCCGTGGTTCTGTGACATTTCACAGACAGGGACAGATGATGATCTGATGATCTGGGAGTTCCTGGGCGGCCTGAAATATGGTGAAAGCCTGTCAGATGCTTGGGTTATCTCTGTCTCAGGCATTCCACAGCCATGACACATCAGCAGTGGCTCCCACAGAGTCTGCACTAAATTGGGTGACTGTTTCCATGTCAGTGTTTGATGTGAAGCAGCCCAAACCAAAATGACTGGGGATGCTTAGCTGGTGACCTCATGCTGTGGGAATTGTCAGATGGACCAAGTTTCCAAACTCCAGCCTGCCCTCCGGTGCCTGCGCCTGCTCTGTGTGCTTCCGGCCAGAGCCCTGCAGCTCTCCAACACAAATGGGCCAGGCTGGTGCCATCTTCTGAGAAAGGCTTCCTTGCCGTTTTCCTCAGCTCACACTGCAGTTGCCTTCCCAGGGAAGTCTTCTTTTTTTTAATTTTTATTTAAGGAGAAAAGAAAAGAAAGAAAAAAAAACAGTGAAGGGGTACAAGTTATACAGATTTACAGAATAAAAAAATGCGCAGTAGGAAATCACTAGTTAATGGATTACATATTGCCATCTTAGAAATAATTGTTCAAGTCACAAAATTAAAGCTTGTAGAGTGGACATTCCACCAATGATACTGCAAACAGTTCTGTTCAATGATCCAATAAAACTCTGTGATATCATTTTCTATCTTATACTTTTAAATATACATGCAGTTATATAGTTTAGAGCACTTTCTTTTCCTCTCTTTTGTACAGTGACTATTACACATTTTGGGTTTCATTGCTCCCACGGTTCTTGTTGCTTTTTTGGAAGAGAGTAAAACCAAATGTGACATAATAGAACAGAATCGGTCAAGTCAAAAGGGTGGACATAATAGATAATATAAAAACATAATACAAGGTGATCAACAATGGTTACCCTAATGCCT